TAACTATGAAAAGAACATTTATTTTGTGGCAATATAATGGACATGAATCATACATACATTCAGCTGCAGATTTGGGTCATATGCAGTAGGCACCCACCCTGGCAAATCACTGAGCTACGTACACCACAATAAACAAAAAAACAACAACAGTGTTTTAAAGTAACATATTGATTTTTCTTTGACTGAAGAAATAGCTAAGCTTTCACATTAGAGGACTTCGAAAATGTTTAAAAATCATCTCTATTTTTGGCTACATTTTGCAATCCGATTTTATATTTACCACAATTTTATTAGTGAATAAACAGCATACACTTAGCTAGGCATTTAGAGCGAGAGCTATCGAACACGCAATTTGCTCACATTTTAACAAGAAAACAGTATATGTGAAATCTTATATTTATGATTGGTACACATTGAGAGTAACTTGATTTCTGACTATATATGATAATATTCTATCTATTCTTCTACTTTATTACAGTGAACTGGCCCCTCTGTCTTAGTTTCTTGTCTATATTTATGGCAAGCATACATTTAAAATTGAAATAAGGAGAATTTCTATTCAGCCCATAATGCTGTAAGGCCTGACACAGCTCCCATTATTTAGTGCTGGACAATTTATTATTTTCTGAACTTCAGTGCACTCCACTGGACTTCCTGCAAATATAAACGTATGACCTAACAAATCAACAAATGACAAAACTCGTGGTTGTTCTCACTAGGAAACTCCATAAAAGATTGTTCACTGTGCATTATAATCTTCCAAATCTGTAAATTATATTCTTGATTTACATGCAAAGAATACAGCTGCACATTTCACAGATATCGGTTTAAATTCAGAACATTCGCTGCAGGGAATATATCTTTGCAGACGGTTTAAAGGAGAATTTAATACAATTAAATGTTCAGTCTTTACATGCCAATTAGTATTATTGAGATACAGGGTTTTAATTTATCTTCTATCCATACACACTCCTGCAAATAGAGATGATAGTGCCAACATCAAATATTATGGGGACATAGGAGATTTGGATTTTTTTAACATCTGCTTGATGGGGAAAATATGTGATCTCATTCACCATTGTTTACTATCAAGTAAGGCACAAGGAAGTATACAAGCTGCTTTTTCACTGGTACCCCCTCTACACTTCTTACGCCTTAATGATCCTACCATTGACAAAAACTGCTAGTGTTGTGTCAACGTTCTTGGCAAACTAATAAACATTTGGTGGGAATGTCCACTGATTAAAAAATACTGGAATGCCATATACATTTAGATGTTCTCTGAAAATTCATCACCTTTTCAACCTGCCCAAATACAGTCACATTAGACAAAAAATTCAAGATCAGCCTGTAAGAAATCACTCATGATTCATATTATGTATCCCACTGTTTGGTAAGCAACAAACAAGCCCTCCTTTTTCATTATGGCTTACTGGACGAGCCTTACTCTGTGAAAAAATTGGTGTTCGGTGCTACTGACAAAATGCAAACCTACATAGGGATGTGTCCTCATTGTATACTCACAACTCCAACAGATCAGTTAAAATCTAATCTAAGGACCTACATATTCTTGGGCAAATTCACAAATGTTCTAGAACTGCATCTTCCATGAAGCTTTGCCACTACAAAAGCCTTGCAAAGCATTATGGCAGTTGCAGTTCCGTGAAATCTGAGGATCTACCTTTTGGCCAGGCCTGCCCTACACACTCTTTACTCTCTGTTCCCTACACTGGACAATTTCTCCCCTAACCCATTTTTCTAAATGTTTGTTGGTCTTTTTTTACTCTCTCCCCTTTTTTATTTTCTGACTTAGTCTTTTCTTTATTATGTATCTTGAAACAATGTTACAGAAAAAAACTATGTAAGTCTCCATGGTGATAGGCAGATATATTATACCAAACACCAAACACCTGCTAAGCCTACAACTATACATTTATTTTTACATTCTAAATTGTATTTTATAAGTATGCCTTTAGAAACTGTTATTGTATTAATGAATTGTATTCAGCTGTACATACTAACTTAATTATGAATATCCCACCTAGCAAAAATACAAAAAAAAAACTGTTTCTAAAAAAAATAATTGAAACCATAGGAATCCCTTCTCCATCAACACCTTTCAACCCTATTAATCCACGAAACCATAAATCCCCCTTTATCTACTGATGACCTAGATAAATGCAATAATATGGTACGCTATATACCTTTACGTCCACTGATACCCTAGATCACTTTTATATATGGATATACTAGATGCACAATATACCGATAATCCTAGTTATCTGTTATGTATTGGCACCACCTTAGATCGACCTTACCCTTTAGTAACTTTATTCCTTTGTATTATTAAAAACTCTAGAATGTCCCATTGTTTGTTGATTTGCCTTGAATGCTTCATCTTCAGTTATCGTTCTTCTCTTAAAGGCTGTAGTAGTTATGGTATGCATTTAGCGTTTCTTTAAGTTTGTCAGTAGACATTATTTTGCCCTTTATTATCCATTTACAATTGATACTTTCTAAAGCTTACTTTTCCACTGATAGCCCTTAGATCCATCATATTTATTGATATCTTATAAATACCTCTCGTTCATTAATATCCCTTGGACACATCTCTGTTATTAAGAAGCCTAAATCCCTTTTGCTAGTTGATGTCTCACAAAGCCCTGTTATACAGTGACAACTTCTGGATATGAATGAATACCATTTAGGTCTCTGTGATCAGATGATATCCATAAACTCTTCAAATCCATTAATGCAATGTAGATCCATTTACTGTTAATAGATTACTCTTTACAAACCTGTATGAGTGAATCATTATGTGACTTCTTTATGAAGAATCCAAACATAATCCATTCTGGTTTACTTGCTCCCATAACACGAGTCTAAATGTACAAATAAAGACCTTCGATTGAATATTTTTTAATAAACATTTCAAGTTTTATTATATTTTTTAAGAAACTTTTAAAAGATTTAATATTTTGAAAAACATTTTAATATGTTTTGCTATATTATAGATATCAACATAATATTATATTATTATTATTATTATTATTATAAATATATATATGCAAAGCAAAAACCATGAAAGTTATTGTGGGGAACAAAATGTAATTGAAAACAGGTCAGTGGATAGTAAATACAAAGTCAAACAAAGATCTGCACACCAGTCAAGCCATAAGATTTGCTTTTTCCACAGAAATCACAAATTTGCTAGCGCAAAGCATTCTAGGAGGGCATATGCAAATTAGTACAATAAAGAATCAGATATATGCTTCATTCCATTATAAACATGGATTCCTTTGAGTTTGTGTTTGTTGAATACAACAACTTTGAAACACAACTCAGGAAGTGATGCAAAGCCAGTTAACCCCTCATTGACAGCTTTGCAACTCCCTCAGGTGTGTTTCAAAGCTATGTATAGCGCAAACACAAACTCCAAGGAATACATGTTTAAAATGGAATAAGCCAAAAATATGATTCTTTTTTTGAACTCATTTTAATCAAATTTTTTATATTTTATTGTTAGAGAGGATAACATGAAGGCTTGCATGGAAAGCGATTAAAGCAGTCTGGAATTGGATAAGACATATTTTGTTTTCCCACAGAATTTTCACTATCATATACAATTCTGTATCTTTGCTAGCTCTTCACTTAGCACAATGTAAAGATTAACCCCTTAATGACACAACTTCTGGAATAAATGGGAATCATGACGGAAAATTTCCATCATGTGTCCTTAAGGGGTTACATTATTGGCAGATTAAAACAAGTTTCTATCATGCTATACGTGACATGTCCCATTAATGTGAAATCCAAATACATGTTATTACATGTAAATATATATATATATATATATATATATATATATATACAGGGAGTGCAGAATTATTAGGCAAATGAGTATTTTGACCACATCATCCTCTTTATGCATGTTGTCTTACTCCAAGCTGTATAGGCTCGAAAGCCTACTACCAATTAAGCATATTAGGTGATGTGCATCTCTGTAATGAGAAGGGGTGTGGTCTAATGACATCAACACCCTATATCAGGTGTGCATAATTATTAGGCAACTTCCTTTCCTTTGGCAAAATGGGTCAAAAGAAGGACTTGACAGGCTCAGAAAAGTCAAAAATAGTGAGATATCTTGCAGAGGGATGCAGCACTCTTAAAATTGCAAAGCTTCTGAAGCGTGATCATCGAACAATCAAGCGTTTCATTCAAAATAGTCAACAGGGTCGCAAGAAGCGTGTGGAAAAACCAAGGCACAAAATAACTGCCCATGAACTGAGAAAAGTCAAGCGTGCAGCTGCCACGATGGCACTTGCCACCAGTTTGGCCATATTTCAGAGCTGCAACATCACTGGAGTGCCCAAAAGCACAAGGTGTGCAATACTCAGAGACATGGCCAAGGTAAGAAAGGCTGAAAGACGACCACCACTGAACAAGACACACAAGCTGAAACGTCAAGACTGGGCCAAGAAATATCTCAAGACTGATTTTTCTAAGGTTTTATAGACTGATGAAATGAGAGTGAGTCTTGATGGGCCAGATGGATGGGCCCGTGGCTGGATTGGTAAAGGGCAGAGAGCTCCAGTCCGACTCAGACGCCAGCAAGGTGGAGGTGGAGTACTGGTTTGGGCTGGTATCATCAAAGATGAGCTTGTGGGGCCTTTTCGGGTTGAGGATGGAGTCAAGCTCAACTCCCAGTCCTACTGCCAGTTCCTGGAAGACACCTTCTTCAAGCAGTGGTACAGGAAGAAGTCTGCATCCTTCAAGAAAAACATGATTTTCATGCAGGACAATGCTCCATCACACGCGTCCAAGTACTCCACAGCGTGGCTGGCAAGAAAGGGTATAAAAGAAGAAAATCTAATGACATGGCCTCCTTGTTCACCTGATCTGAACCCCATTGAGAACCTGTGGTCCATCATCAAATGTGAGATTTACAAGGAGGGAAAACAGTACACCTCTCTGAACAGTGTCTGGGAGGCTGTGGTTGCTGCTGCACGCAATGTTGATGGTGAACAGATCAAAACACTGACAGAATCCATGGATGGCAGGCTTTTGAGTGTCCTTGCAAAGAAAGGTGGCTATATTGGTCACTGATTTGTTTTGTTTTGTTTTTGAATGTCAGAAATGTATATTTGTGAATGTTGAGATGTTATATTGGTTTCACTGGTAATAATAAATAATTGAAATGGGTATATATTTGTTTTTTGTTAAGTTGCCTAATAATTATGCACAGTAATAGTCACCTGCACACACAGATATCCCCCTAACATAGCTAAAACTAAAAACAAACTAAAAACTACTTCCAAAAATATTCAGCTTTGATATTAATGAGTTTTTTGGGTTCATTGAGAACATGGTTGTTGTTCAATAATAAAATTAATCCTCAAAAATACAACTTGCCTAATAATTCTGCACTCCCTGTATATATATATATATATTATCTTGTTATTTAATTTATTAGTTTTCATTAAAGTTAAGTTATTAATTCCAACTTTTCTTCCTACAGCGGTGAAGTCACTGCACACATTGAACGACCAGATTTCGCATTTTATTGTGGCAACACCATCACCACTGGAAGACGATGGAGATGGCTTTCATCCAGCTGAAAAGGACTCGCTGAAGAAATCTATGACTATGATGAGACAGCTTTTAGTTGAAGCACAGGTAAGAGAAAAAAAATATCTTAATTGCGACTTTATGTAACTAATGAGTTATTTTCGGAAGTCAAAAAGGGTTTTATTGAAAGATAAATATTGCAGAAAATACAGGAATAGTCAATGTAATACAGATTACAATGAGAAAGGATAAACATCACAAGTTAAAACAGTGAAGAAAGCTTTCCGTGATAACATTAGAGTCATTAACGAGCTCACATAATGTAGTCCAAGAACTATTATGCCTTTCAAGTATCCCATATGTTTGAAATGTATATGCTATTTTGATAACAATGCTTTGGGGATGAAATATGATTATAAGAAAAAAACAAATGAACCAAACAAATAAATTTTTAAGGAAACATTCGAAAGAAACAAACAAACAAAAAAAGGATAATAGTGTCTGATTTTGCATAATCCGGTCCTTTCTTTTCCAAAAATGCCGAATTTACTGCCATGTTCCTTGGCCAAGCAGAGACATGAATATTTTCTTTTTCAAATCAACAGGATGCAAGAGAATACTGAGAATGAACAACAGCTCAGTAGGTCCCCTCTTAGATCTCAAGCTGGTTTTAGCCTAGAACCTAGGTCATTTCCGTATAAGACTGATCCCACCCAAATGAATGTCCCAAAGCCAAAAGATCTACAGTCTCTCTCTGCATGAGAGATACAGCAACTCTAGATGATCATTTTGGCCTTGTTAGGCCTCGTCAGTAAGGTATAGTCAAAATCCCTCTAGGCACTGTGAGTAAGGGATCCACATCAAGTTTAAAGAGTAATCCAGGCTAGGTTCTTTGTAATGACACACGATGAGCTAAAACTAGCTGAAAATCTGAGCAGAGACCCAACAAAGCTACTTGAGCTGTTGTCCGTTGTCAGTATTCTCTTGCACCTTTTTTGTTTGCTCATTTTTTTTTTTTTTCAAATCGGCTCAAGTTGGTAAACTTTTATATAATAATCAATTGTTATTGAATAGTGCATGTATAAGCTGGTATCTGACGTAAAATAAAAATCATAAAAGGACTTTTTTTCACAGATGTCCCTTCAATTGTAGTAGGATACATCCTTTTTTCCTGTCAGTTGATAGCTAGTAAAAAAAAGTTGAAAGTAAGTTTTTCTGATTTCAATGCAGTGTAATGGTCTGTTCTATTTCAAGAGCTATAACATGGTTCAAAATAAAAATTCACTGAGAAGACAAGAGGAAATAAGAATTTCACACTCAGCCACATATAATTTTATGCAAATTGGCACCTCTGTGAAACAGAATGTTTTACTGCACTACATTAGGCTGTGTTTAAACATAAATATTTTATACATAAAGTGTAGATAATATATTATCAGTGATTTACTGCTGAGTGATTTGGTTCCTTTAACATCTTGAATGTAACTCGAGATGTAGCAATATGTTACAGTATAGTTCATTTTTGTGTATTGATATAAAACCATCACTTCCAACAGCATGGAAAGTGATTCACTAAGTGGAATTGTAGTATTTAATAACAGACACACCAATTTATCTTTCTGTAAGTCTGAAAGGTTTTTTTTTTATATCTGTTTAAAGGGGAACTAACACCTCTTAGATTAGGACACAGACAGGGAAGATACTTGTTTTAAAGCAGATACACGTGTTAATGAAAAAAATATATATTTTTTAGGATTTTATTTAGCATCAGGTTAAATCTACAAAAGTTTAGAATGGCATTTAATACAAACGATTTCCAACTGAAATGACAATTTATGCAGGAAATTGAATGTAACAATAAATTCATAAGAGCAAAGAAACGTGGGGATATTCAAAATAGAAGGGCCCACATCCTTGCCTGTGTATCATTCATAAATATTTTTATTTTATTTTACCATTGTAAACAGTGCAATAGTGGTTACTGGGGTACTAATAAAAATGAGAGTTTGTTTCTTGTGTAAGTTACCTCAATTTAGGTGGAGGATTTGAATTTCTGTATTGGGGGCTCAATTATTCCAATGATGCTGGTCCATATAAGATATGTTTTTCAGGAGCCTGGCTGCCTTCATTTTAGTTAAATGCCCCATGTGTTGTTTTTCTGCCTCATCAGCAGAACGTAATATCAGGTTTTAACACCGCGTCATCACAATAATCTGCACACTTTATTCTTTCTATTCTGATTAAAGGTAAACTATAGTACCAAGAAAACAAAATATAGAGCCCCCTTCCACCCCGCCTTCTGTCACTTACCTGAGTCAAGAGCCACTGTCCCTCTGTGTTGGTTCGGGCACCTCTTCCCCTCCTCCCCCGCTGACGTCACCCACCTCGCATAAGTATTTCCCCCATAGGTGATGCTCGATGCCTTCATGCGGATGTCCTCATGGCGTGAGGATGTTCAGTGTCAATTAGGCGACCAAAAGAGTTAACCCTCAAAGGTAATTATTGCAGTTTATTAAAAGTACAATAATTACCTTTGCAAGGTTAAGGGACCTAGGACTATTCACCTAGACCACTTCTATGAGCTGAAGTGGTCTGCATGCCTATATTGCCCATGTAACAACTAATAAGGAAATACAATGGCTATCCATATTTACACTGAGAGCCAGGTTTACAGGCTCTTTTAAAGATGAGCAAGGATTTGGAACACTGAGAGACAGGTTTACAGGCTCTTTAAAAGTTGAGCAAGGATTTGGAACACTGAGAGCCAGGTTTACAGGCTCTTTAAAAAGTGAGCAAGGATTTGGACAAGTATATATGTGCTATAAGTACTAACACTGACATGATGTCCTGAGATTTTGTTGTATTTCTTATTTCCTTGGCTCCATATACCACCATTTGAGTACATCAAGGACATGTTGGTCCCTAGCCATCTCAAGACTACACCCCAGAAAACATCTTGGCTGAAGTCCCCAGTCTTAGGGACCTATCAATGTGGGAAATGTAAGGCATGTAGGTTTATACGTAGACCCTCCAAAACGTTCCCAGACTCCCTCGGCACACAGGAATTCAAAGTAAAGAATTTCTTTAACTGTCAGTCCAAAGGGCTTATCTACTTACTTTCCTGTTCGTGCAAAAAACTGTATGTGGGAAAAACCTTTAGGATGTTTAAACTTAGGATACGGGAACATGTCAATTCGGTAAACCCCACAAGACAAATCGACACCCCTATCTCTAAACATTTGAAACTACATCATGGGGGCTCATCTGAAGGAATCAGATTTAGTGGTATTGAAAGGGTTACCTTGGGACCAAGAGGGGGGGATTTAGACAAGAAGCTACTCCAAAGGGAGAGCTTCTGGATCTATAAGCTCAAAACCCTGTCACCCTTGGGACTTAACGAAGGTTTCTCATATACACCATTTATTGCAGATCACTGATACCAGGTGTGGGACTCAGACCTATATACGGGCAGTGGTACTCGGCGGGTGATCTCTGCACTAATCTATTCTGAGTGAGCCTTATGGCCTGATACACTTGTAAATTTGTAAATATAGCGCGGTTTGTTCCACAATGGGTATATTCTTTGCTTATTACTATTACTACTATTATCACTATTCTTTTCTATTTATTATTATTTTTTATATTATTTTTTATCATATAAATTTATTCTCATGATTACCGGATGAGGACCACTAAATTGCTAATGCTTGAATTCTCCCAAGGAAATAGCTATATAATGACTATAATACCAATAATGTTCCTAGACCAAGCTTGCTGAGCACTTGAATGAAAATATCAATGGCCATACCAGTCTGAAAATGCCTGATCTCGTCAGATCTCAGAAGCCATCCAGACTTGGGCCTGGTTAGTACTTGTATGGGAGACCAACTAGGAACCTCA